AGGGGCAGGACCTTCCACTTGGGCTTGTTGAACTTCATGAGGTTGGCACTGGCCCACCTGTCCAGCCTGTCAAGGTCCCTCTGGATGGCATCTCTTCACTCTAGGGTGTCAACCACACCACACAGCTTGATAGCATCAGCAAACTTGCTGAGGATACACTCAACCTCACTGTCCATGCCTCCAACCAAAGGTTATGAACTGCATTGGTCTCAATATTGACCCTTGAGGAATGCCACTCATCACTTGCCTTCACTTGGACACTGAGCCATTGCCCACAATGCTCTGGGTGTGGCTGTCCTGGTTTAAACATTAAAGGTGAATCCCAAAAACCAGAGAACAGAATTGCCCTCTCTTACCCCCTCTCCAGCCTCCCAAGGGAAGATAGGAGGGGAATAAGGAAGAGAGACTTAAACTTTGGAAATTGAAACTAGAAACAAATTTACTGTAACACAAGGTAAAAGGGTAAAACATGGGGAAAGAACAGATAAATATTTATATACAAAAGGGATCTTGATGACGACAGGGACATGGGAAAGGCAGAGCCGCTCCAGGGGAAGGTCCATGGCTTCTCCCAGCACCCGATGCAGTTGGATTCTGGAGCCAGCACGTGGGAAGCCGAAGGAACCAGGAGCAGCCCCTGCAAGGAGCAAGTAGCAGGAAGGGAAAAGGGCCTGGCTATCTGCTTGCCTGGCTTTTATTGATTGTGACTGGAAGTGGGCAGGAATACTGACCCTTCCAGTCTTTCAGGGTCCTAAGGACTCTCTCTCTGTATAGGTGTCGAACACTATGCCAGGGTCTCTAAACCATAACAGCGGCCATCCAGCCAATTACTTATCCACCGAGTGGTCCATCTGTCAAATCTGTCAAATCAGTGTTGCATTAGGAAGATGCACCTAAGTTTAAAACTGATGTGCAAAGATAGTGTAGTTAATGTGATTGCCTTGCCAATAGATGCTGAAGTAGGTATCACATAAGTGACACAGACAGTACTGTGGCACTTCCAAGGTCTTAATCCTCTCTGTTCCTGAGCACTGCTGATATTAAAAATGTTTTGTATCTGTAATATCATTACTTAAAGGTGACATGTATTTCCTTCCTTCCTTCCTTCCTTCCTTCCTTCCTTCCTTCCTTCCTTCCTTCCTTCCTGCCTTCCTTCCTGCCTTCCTGCCTTCCTGCCTCCCTGCCTTCCTGCCTTCCTGCCTTCCTGCCTCCCTGCCTTCCTGCCTTCCTGCCTTCCTCCTCCCTTCCTCCCTTCCTCCCTTCCTCCCTTCCTCCCTTCCTCCCTTCCTCCCTTCCTCCCTTCCTCCCTTCCTCCCTTCCTCCCTTCCTCCCTTCCTCCCTTCCTCCCTTCCTCCCTTCCTCCCTTCCTCCCTTCCTCCCTTCCTCCCTTCCTCCCTTCCTCCCTTCCTCCCTTCCTCCCTTCCTCCCTTCCTCCCTTCCTCCCTTCCTCCCTTCCTCCCTTCCTCCCTTCCTCCCTTCCTCCCTTCCTCCCTTCCTCCCTTCCTCCCTTCCTCCCTTCCTCCCTTCCTCCCTTCCTCCCTTCCTCCCTTCCTCCCTTCCTCCCTTCCTCCCTCCCTCATTTCTGACTTTCAGAATTTCCATTAAATTTTCCTTTTCCTTCCAAGTTATTTAAAGTATCAACACTTGTTCTTAAAATATTTATAATCACATGTATGAATTGGCAGATTCATTGTTCTTGTAAGAAGATTGAAAAAGTCATTCAGTGGCTTATAAAAGGACTATTTTTACTTGTTTAAATACACATGCGAAAATATTTGGTGCAGTTATAGCTAAATGAAATTCATTGTGATTCTCTAATCTGTTGTAATGAAGTCCTCAGAGATTGTGGATTGACTGTGGATGCAATCCTCATTTTGCATATAAATACTTACAGATTTATATGACCTTGTCTGGCCAGGTTCAAATCGAACAGCTGCTGTTTAGCCCTGAAGTGCATTGGTTGTGGAATTATCTTTGAATGTTGGGTGTGTGAGTGATAGTAAGATGTGAGCATGTGGACGTGGTGGTATACACCATCAGAGGACATTCTCCCAAGGGCTGTAGTAGTCAACTTTGGAGAAGCTGTATAGTATGTGTTGCTACCAATTGGACAAGAGACTCTAGGTGTAACATCATTGTTAGCGGTTTAGTGATAAGAATTAAGATACACTGTGCAACAGGATCTATTTAACATCAGGTCATGGGCTGCCAGAAGTCTCCTCTGTGAACTTACACTAACAGATGTTTCTGTGAAAGCTGCCTGGTAGCAAATCTTGCCTGACAGCAGAGTAGCACCTACCAAATCACTGTGGCAGGAACAGTTACTTACGGTTCGGGGTAGCTACATGGGATTTCAGGGAAGAGTTTAGCAAATACGGGTTGCATGAACCATTAACTTGGAAGGGTTTGTACAAGTAGGGAGGAGAGCCTTTGTTGCAATAAGCCATAAACAAATAAACACTGAGGATGATAACCTGTTTTAATACGTCCTGCATGGAAGCTGCAGTATACTGGAATTCTATCAGGAAGAAAATTAGTAGAGACAGCAGGCTGTAATAGCACAGTTGAATGAACATTTAGGCTTTACATTCTGAATTGGACTTGCTGCCTTACTATTGCAAGGTGAGCCTGAAAAATATGAGCAACCCATATAGCAATACACCATCATCTCCTTGAATTTTCAAAGAGATTGAAGTGGTTAAAAACTTATGAATCATCCCATTTATTTTGCACAGGACCTCAGAGATTTGTAACTCTACTTGCAAAAATAATGTTCTAGTATGATTCCAGTGTTTGTTATGGAAAGTACCATTTGTATAAATTGTGAAACTACTCTTTTGCTATAACCAGACTCCTGGCACTTGATTTTGCCTCTCTGGCCTGCTAGAACCTGCCTGCAAATTAAATGTTATTCTGTGACTTTTGTGTGTAGGGTAGAGTTGGTTGGGTTGTAAAACATAGTACTTGTTCCGTTCCATGGAGCTGGGCAGCCAGTGAACAGGAAGCCAGAGCTGGAATTTGGTTTGGCAGTGTGAGCTGTGCTACCTGGAAAACAGCACAGAGCTGAAGAGCCAAAAAGAGATGCTACTCAAGGAGATTGCTGATGCTGTTTTCTTTCAGCTTCTCCACTCATCAACTATTTCCCTCCCCCACACCATTACCTACCTTCTGGAACATAGGGAGAGAGGTTCTTTGCCAGCTTCTTTAGGCTGTGCAACGGAAGGGTTAACAGAAATAGCCTTTTACCAGCAGCTGTATTCACAGTGACCCATCTATATTTGTGTACACTTTAAAGTGTGAAGTTCTGTGCTGCAAGCTAATTTATTCTCCAGGAGCAGACTCAAAGGTATTAGTTGTAGAGGTCAGCCCCACCATGCTGTGGAGCATTGTGGGACCATGCTTGTCTGTCCCCATAGGCTTTTAGGGGAGAGGTTAGTGAGTCTAGAGAAGTAAAATAACAAAAATGTTTCATTGATAGGGACTATTCTATGAAAGGAGGATTGTATACTTCCTCACGAGGTTTGGAGAATGGTTTTCCAATTGAGCTGAAGATTATTGCAGGCTGAGATGAGTGGAAACCTGACTGCTAGTACCGTTTCCTTGCTTAATCTGGTACTGCTGACAGCTCAAGAGAGGCCTGGCAAGACGGTTTTTGAGTGCAAGAGGGGCTGCATGGTGAAGAGGGAGGAAGAACAGGCTGAAATAAAGTTACTCAGTTGCTGTTATCTTGAGTCTGACTGAGCTGCACAACTCATTCCTCCCTCAGGGGACACAGGTGCGCAGAGCTATTTTTCTTTAATCACTCACATAAATTAAATGTATTCCTTTGCTTTAAAATAATTAAATAAAGCTACGCCCTGTATCTTTTAGTGCCAGATAATATCTTTGAACCTTTGGCTCACCATTTAGCTATCAGCTGCAAGGTATTTTCCAGGGTGTGCTAAACCAATTTTACCATTGTCCTGGAAAGTGTTCTAGGCAGAGAAATCCCCTGATAGCAATCAATGTTCATACATACTTTTAATCACTGTATCCACTGGGAATAATCATTTCCGGGCCTCTCTTGAAGTCCACCTGCCCCACACTAAGATGAAAGAAACTTACATGCTGTGTATCAAGTGGCTGAGGCTTGATGCTTACCAGGATATTAAGCACAAATTAAAATGGTTTGAAGAATATTGATGTGGGTCTGAGGTTGGCCAGTTGCTGGTGTGGGGACGATGCTGCCAAGTCTGGAGCAGATTGGCAAGGAACAAGAACAGCTTTTGCTTTTCCTATATCCCCTAAGGGTTTTCTCTTGCTCTTTTTAGGACACGACACTACTTGCAAAAGTGCAGTATCATACGTGTTTAGAATGGAGGTGTGTGCTTTGGGAACAGGGTTTGTGTGCTTTCCAGGTTAGGAATGATTTTTCCTGGGTTTGTTGTGACTTGTCTTCTGATTGTTTAACTTGTAGGTTTGGAAAGTCTACTAAGTGGTAGCTGGCACATCACCCCAGACACGGCTCTTTGTTGCTCCAGTTTGGTTTCTAGCCAAACATCAAAGGGGCTCAGGGCAAATCTGAGCTGCTTCCTCCCTGGCAAATGCTTGGTTTGTACAGTCTGCCCCCTGTAGAAGCAGCAAAATAGTTTGTGTAATACCAAGCTATCTTTACTCAGAAGTTACAAGTGAGTGGCATTCTGTGGTTGGGTATTGGCAGATCCACCACTTCTGAAATTTCCTTTTACTTTGTTTATGCAGTTATTTGACACTGACTGTTGAGCCATATAAATCTCTCTTGGCATTGCGACCCGTTCCCCACCTGACACTCCAAGAACATTCACGGATGCCTGTATGGAAACAGATGTGCTTTTATTTGCACCTTTAGGATAAAAAAAACAAAACACCTTTACAGAACAGCCTTAGAGCTACTTGGCTTTGGTAAGTTGGGAGGGGCAGAGAACACCTTAAAGCTCTGCAACAGCCCCATGGGTATGGTATTGACCATCTGTATGTGAAAAATGGCTGTGACTCAGAACAGAGACCAGGAATCCTCAAGTAAGCATTTTCCAGCAAGGCAGTCTCACAATTCCTTCTCCTTTCACTTCCAGAATCTTAGGGAATTTTAAATAAGGGTCAGCTAACTCTGTATAGCTAGGAAAGAAAGCAGGATTTAGGTCAGGAATTTTACTACCCATATCTAGAAGAATGAAACCTCTGCTCTCCAACTAAGGGAGCAAATGCTTGTTGGCTTGTGTAAGGCACACAACTAGGTTGGTCTGGCTCTGGGCTTTGCAGGCCCCTTGTATTCTAATTTCTGTCTCTTACTGTCTTTTATTTGCAGCTCAAAGACATGTCCTCACGTACATGGAGGATGCAGTGAGCCAGCTGCTGGAGAACAGAGAAGATATTAGTCAGTATGGCATTGCCAGGTTCTTCACTGAATAGTAAGTACATCAGGATGCTGCCAATAGGGCCAGCCTGAGGGGGGCTGTTGGAAACAGGCAGGGTACATGGAGAATGGAGCTGGACACATGCTGATTATGTTGTGAATGCTGGATTTCACTGGGTTAGCCAAGGGCTGCCTGAGCATGTTTGAGAAATGTGCATGGATTTCATTCAGTTCAGTACCTCTTGTATTACAAACATTCATGTGAAGCAGTCACGTTGAGGAACAGAGCTTTTAAAAGCATATAGAAAACCAAATTCTGCTTGCCTTGATCAGGGCTGTTTGTATCAAAAGCAGAAACTGCTGCTTGTTCCAGCAGCACTCATTCTTCCTTTTAGTGAATATGGATTTGAACTGATTTGTCTCCTTTTGTGATTGTTGTCTTGTTGAATGCTTTAATAGAATGCCTCTTCCTCACTTATAATCTGCATAAATCCTTAAATAATTAACATAATAATTAGCACAGACAATCTGGAAAGATTGGGGGGGCAGGGGAAAGCTGTGTGCTGGTCTTCAGTGTTGTTTATGTTGACTCAGCTGATTGCTGTATGTTTTGCCAACTTGATAATGTCTTGCACAATGTCTAAAACTGTTCCAGGCAGCTTCATTAAACATCAGTTGGCAATACATGTGCTTGCAGTAGTTATTTGTTTCTGACTTTTAATACCCGTTTGAAAATCTTTCCTTGCTTGCTTCCTTTTGTGTTATCTTTTTTCTGAGACAAATCAATGTGCAGAGTGTTTCAGAACAATCTCTGTACTACAACAGTGGAAGAAGATCTCAAAGCACAGTAGTAGCTTTCTTTCTCAATTGACCAGTTTCAGATCTTCTTGTGTTTTTTATTTGCTTTGTTTTTTTTCTGCACATCGCTGTCCATCTAACCTCTAAATGAGGACTAACTAGCTAGTTTCACTGACTGGATAGCTTGCCTTATATCTTCTTGCCCCATGCACATTTTCTGCTTTAAACAACTGAGATTTGCACTGGTAAAGTAGTAACTAAGATAAATACTGCAGCAAGTCTGAGACAAGATTCTTAAAGGTTTTTTGTTTTGGTTTTCTTTTCTGAGATAGGGCAACAAGCAGTTCAAGACTAATGAGGGTCTGACCATCTTGGCAGAGAAGGTGAGATATGAACCATCTTACTACATCTGTTTGTACAACAGATCTTTTAGGTAGATGATAGTGTAACAAGAAAATATGGTTTCTTGGTAGTACTTTAGCTCTTTTGCTCTTTACAAAGTACTTCCAACTGTCATTTGGCATGAATCTCCCATGTTACAGAATCTGAAAAATAGTATAAAGGCAATTTTATCAGAAGAATTAGTTTATCAAGACAGTTTAGTCTTACTATTAACATTTCTCTGTAGCTGAGTGTAACTAGAATAAATTATGACTTTAAAATACCTCAAAAATGTATTTCAGAAACAAATAATACCTGGTACTATGTGGATTTTATAAAGGGATTGAGATTTGTTGTTGTTTATAAAGTAGCTTAAACTCTCACAATACATTCCCTCTTCATAGACTAGCAAGGTTAAAAAAATGCATAGTATCAGGAATGAAACTCCTACTATACAAACCAATGAACACTGTATTTCCATGTTTTGAGCAAGTTGTAATTGTCACTGTTAAGTCACAGTTGGGGAGAATTAATCCCTGAGAGTAGGTATTGGGAACAAACCAAGGTACAACCTGTGCACTCGATGTGACCAGCAATCATGATGCACCATCTGATATAGGTGAATTTCCACAGAAAGTGATACTGACATTAGTCAGCTGAACAAGTAGTCAGTAAACAAGAGCTTAAGAAAGATAAAGAGCTACAAGACTACAACGACTTCCACCCACCAATAGGATTTCTTTAACAGAGTTGAAAGCAAGGTATCTCTGAAATACCCAGCTGAAACAATCGTTCAGGCATCTCTCCAGATTAGATTTGCTGTGCACCTGCTTTCAAGCTGACACCTCAGGGCCTTTTTTAAACTTCTGATCACACGTACTTAAATGGTGAGCAAGAGGTCTTCCACACTTTTTGAAACTGCTCAAGTTGCTTCTCTACCATTTTTCTCATTGTGACATGATAACCATCTTCTTGTGGCTTCTTATTCCTTTTGTGCCTTTGAAAAAATAAATAGTAATTCAAGATCATTATAACAACAGCAAAAAAAATCACCATAGAACTCAACCCTCTGCTTGACTTATGTGCTGGAGATCATGCTTCCATTTATTTTCATAGTGATATGTGAATTTCCACAATGACTTTTTTTTCTCACACTGAGTGTTCTGTGTAGCTTCTGAATTCTTGAGAGACAGGAAAAGGCTGCTTCTTCATTTTTTTCTGTGAATAATATAGAACTAATAATTATTTCCTCCCCCCCCTTTTTTTCTTTTAAAGTATATCTGGAGTTTAGCAGATCAAACTGTGTCCCTGTACCAAAACACAGACAGGCTTAGTAATTTTGAGAGCTCTGAAACTTAAGATTTGAAATTTATTTGTAGTGGAGAATAAATGATTGGCAGTATGGGTGCAGGTAGACTCACAATGCAGTTTCCCATTATTAAAGTGTCATATGTTCTGGCTCCCAGTGCCTAGTGGTGAGCCCTCACTGCCCAACAGATTTCTGTTCATCAGAGCAACTGTCAACATCTGTTCAGGCTGTGCTTTGAAAGCTACACTGTATTTATATTACTCAGCCAAGCAAATAAGCTTGATCTTTATTTTTATCTTTAATCTCAGTATCTTGAAACTGAAAGATAACTTGTGAGAATCCAGAAGGTTTGTGTACATTCTCAGTGTTTTCCTTGATCCAGACTATTTAAAGTGAGAGGGTTGTTACATGCATATTTTGAAGTATGCTGCAATGATTTGAGATTAAGGGACTTGATATTAGGGTGTCCAGTTTTTCATATTGTGCTTTCCCTATTTATCCTCTTTCAAAAATAAGAGGCCAAGCCCAGGGTTTAGAAAACCTGTGTATGGAATACAATAATTACTTCTGTAACTTTTCAGAAATAATGAAGTTAGTCAGGAATGGGTATTAGATTTTTTCCAAACTCTTATCAGAGGGCACACTTTTCAATAGAGTGGTGATCCATGGAACCTCTCTTGCTGGATCCACCACTGAAGAGCAGTCGTGGCCTTTCCATCATGCATTGCAATACCCCGCCTCACCATGAGTCACTTCAGATCTTTTTGTCTGTTATAAAAAGTAGTTTTATGCATAATTAAGAAAGTTTTGTTGGGCTTCAGCTTACCTGAATGAAATTTCAGAGCTGAAAACTATGTAGCCATGTAGCTCTGTATGGATCAAGCAGTAAGCATTTTGCAGGCAATTAATGTTTCTAGTTCTTTCTAGGAAATGAAATTGGGTGTGTATTTCACTGCTATCCACAGCCTAGCACTGGGATGGCTCATTGCAGAGGGCTGACCTTCATCTCTACAGTTCTCCTTCCAGAGTATTTTCAGTTTTCAATGATATATTTTTTTCTCACTGTGTTCCATTGTTAATTTGTCCCAGTCACGTGAACATCTGGTTTCAATCTTGGGAGTATCTTGAGGATCCCCTCATCTGACTCCTGACTCTTACAGGAATAGGGATCAATCACCCCTCTGCCTATTATTTCACATCTTTTAGCTAAACAAGTAAAATTATGCCTCTCTTAGGACTAGTCTTTGTTTTATAGGTATGCTGAAATGCTACTGTTACTTGTTCATTACAAACCCAAGGAATCTTTGCTCTGCTTTTGAACCTTCATGAAATTCAGTCTCTTGAAAGGCTTCTGTATAATTGCACACTAATGCTGCTTTACTTCTTCCAGCCTAACATCTGTGCCAACATATTTAAAGGGACATGTTCCTCCTATACATTATTTATCATCCTGTTTTCTTGATCTTTCCTGAACTGAAGAAACACAGGGCCTCCATGCTAATGGGTGTGATCATGAAAAGGCAATGTGCATAGCAGCCCACTTTTTTTTTTATTGGGATCTTAAAAGGAGTCTGTGTGGTTTGTTTTTTCACTTCAGCTGGAAGAAACAATAACAAAAAAATTGACCAAAAGACTTCCTACTTGTAATTACTGCTTTTTTTTTTCTGGGCTAACCCTTTGCTTGAAACTTTCTCTTCCAGCTTGCAGATAGGTAGATGTACAACTCTATTCAAGACTGTTTGGAAAGCTCAGAAGTACAAACCAGTGGTAAATTACCTCAGACAGGAAAATTCTTCCTCTCACTTTTGTAGTTTGATAAACCAAACACAAGTGACCTAGAGACAGAGGAAAACAGCATTTTTTAGGTCTTATGTTCTTTTCCAAAAACACTTACTGTTTTCTTTTGTTTCTGTCCTTTTCACCTGCCAGCTGGAGCATGATGGAGAAAGACATCTTGCTTTAAGCTTGCAGCTGTAGCACTACTTCCATTGGGCTCTGCAAACTGACTCCAAGATCTGCTTTCTCAGTAAAGGATGTTTTTGCTGGTTCTAACTTAAAAGTGCCCCTTCTGGTTGTTGTATGACAGTTTGATAATATTTATCTCAGAAGGTGTCAGTGATGTGTGTCTGGGGTTGGGTCAGGTGTTGGATACTGCTTTTAGATCTCTTGTGTGCCTGGCAAGTCAAAATACCAGGTCTGCGCTGTTTTACACAAAGGAACATTTGTGTTGTTCAGAGTGGCAGGACTACCAGTGCTATATAGCTTGAGATCCTTGAACAGGAAGATGTTATGTTGTTAAGTATCAACCTTTAGCAATGAAACTACCTCATTTTTGCTTGCTGTCTCAGTTGGCTGGAACAATTTGTTCAACTCATTCCTCAGGGACATATATGATGCTGCTCTCTTGGTTTTCTCTGGCAATAGCAGTGATACAACTTTGGTGTCAGAAAAACTATTGGCTTGTTCAGTCCTGTACTGCTATACAATATTACAGAAATAAATCGGTAGATTAAACAATGCCCTCCTCTTTAAAATGGTCTCAGTACCCTTGGCAGGGGGGGAGTAGT